ATTTATTTTTTAAAAATTTAATTCCTAGAATAGTTTCAGATTTACAAAGTTATTGTGTAGATGTACTTGCTTCTATTTTCCGAAATAAATTATAAACAATTGGTATCATTTCTTTTTTAAATGTCTAGTAGAATTCACCAGTAAAATGATGTACACCTCTGTTTTCTCTTGTGGAAGGATTTAAATTACTGATTAAATTTATTTAACAAATATAGGCCTATTGAGATTATCTATTTCTACTTGAGTTTTAATGATTTGTATCTTTCAAGAAGCTAATTTGTTTTATCTAAATTACAAATTTTGGGACATAGAGCTGTTTGTAGTATTCCTTTACTATCTTTTAAAAATTATTATTATACTTTAAGTTCTGGGATAAATGTGCAGAATGTGCAGGTTTGCTACATAGGTATACACATGCTATGGTTGTTTGCTGCATCCATCAACCCATCATCTACATTAGGTATTTTCTCCTAATGCTATTCCTCCTCTAGCTCCCCACCCGCCGACAGGCCCTGGTGTGTGATGTTTTCCTACCTGTGTCCATGTGTTTTCACTGTTCAACTCCCACTTATGAGTGAGAACATGCGGTGTTTGGTTTTCTGTTCCTGAGTTATTTTGCTGAGAATGATGGTTTCCAGCTTCATCCATGTCCCTGCAAAGGACAACGAACTCCTTCTTTTTAATGACTGCATAGTATTCCATGTTGTATATGTGCCAAATTTTCTTTATCCAGTCTATCATTGATGGGCATTTGGGTTGGTTCCAAGTCTTTGCTGTGGTGAATAGTGCTGCAATAAACAAACATGTGCATGTGCCTTTATACTAGAATGATTTATATTCCTTTGGGTATATACCCAGTAACGGGTTTGCTGGATCAAATGGTATTTCCGGTTCTAGATCCTTGAGGAATTGTCACACTGTCTTCCAAAATGGTTGAACTAATTTACACTACCACCAACAGTGTAAAAGTGTTTCTATTTCTCCACACCCTCTCCAGCATCTGTTGTTTTCTGACTTTTTAATGATCACCATTCTAACTGGTGTAAGATATTGGTGTGAAGTATCTCATTGTGGTTTTGATTTGCATTTCTCTAATGACCAGTGATGATGAGCTTTTTTTCATATGTTTGTTGGCTGCATAAATGTCTTCTTTTCAGAAGTGTCTGTTCATATCCTTTGCTCACTTTTTGATAGGGTTGTTTGTTTTTCCTTGTAAATTTGTTTAAGTTCTTTGTAGATTCTGGATATTAGCCCTTGGTCAGATGGATAGATTGCAAAAATTTTCTCCCATTCTATAGGTTGCAAATTGACAAATGGGATCTAATTGCTTCTGCACAGCAAAAGAAACTATCATCAGAATGAACAGGCAACCTACTATCTTTTTTTCATCAGTGGATTCAGTAGTGATGACCTCTGTATTAGGTTCCTATTGCTACTGTAGCAAATTCCCTGAAATACAGCTGCTTAAATAGCATAGATTTATTTTCTTTCAGTCCTGAAGAACAGAAGTGGTTAAGACATTTACAGGTCTCAAATCAAGATGTTGGCATGACTGTTTCCTTCTGGAGGCACGAGAAGAAAATCCATTCTTGCCTATTCCAGGTTTTAGAGGCTGCATGTGGCCCTTTCAGCCATCTTCAAATAAAGCTGCATAATCTTTTGTCTCCCCTCTGACTTTCTGCCTCCCTCTCATAAAGACCTTGTGATTGTACTGGAATTTGTAATGCCCCTCTTGATTTCAGAAAAGTAGTATGTTAACTTCCTGGAAGTTAATCAAAAGAAAGTTAATCAAAAGCTTTCTTTTGATTAATGTTGGCATGGTATATCTTCCTCCATCCCTTTACTTTGATCATACCTGAGGATGTGTGTTGCAAGTGGTTTTATGATAGACAACGTACAGTAGGGTCTTTCTTAAAAAAATCCCTCTGACAATCTCTTTCTTTCTATTGACACATTTAGATCACCCAGATTTAAAGTGATTATTGATACAGTTGGAATAGCATTTATCATGTTTATAACTGTTTCCTGTAAGATCACTTACTCTGTTCAGTTTTTTTTCTTCCCTTTTTATGCATTCACTGGTTTTAATTGAACAATTTATATTATTCTATTTTATTCACTCTCTTATATCTTAATTGTATTTTATTTTAAATTTTTGTAGCAGTTGCTATAGAGTGTGCAATATACATTTACAACTAATGCAAGTCCACTGTCAAATAATTTATAGTGCTTCACTTGTAGCGCAGAAACTTAGAACAAAGCACTCCAAATTTCTCCCTCTCATCCTTTATGACATTGCTATCATTCATCTCACTTGTTCATGTGCTGCACTCACAGGAAACAGTTACTATATTTCCTTTAAGCCAATGGTTATCTATTAGCTTGATGAAAAATGAGGTAAACAAAATATTTCATTTAACTTTTTTATGCCTTTAACACTCTTCTTTAAGTAGATCTGAGTTTCAGACTTATATCATTCCTCTTCCCTCCCCCCCAAAAAAAACTTCTTTCAATATTTCTTCCAAAGCAGTTCTGCTGAAAATAAATTCCATTTTTTGTTTGTCAGAGAAAGTCTTTTATTTCTCATTCACTTTTGAAGGATAATTTTGCTGGCTATAAAATTCTAGTTTGGTTGTTATGCCGTCTAATTCGTTAAGTAGTCTATTCCACTAATGGTTTGTGATGAGAAATCTGTTCTAATTCTTGTCCTTGATCCTCTATCGTAAACTGTCCCCCAAACTCTCTGGATTCTTTCAAGATTTTCTCTTAGTCTTTGGTTTACTGAAAATTGAATATGATATGCCTAGGATTGGTTTTTGGTATTTATTCTACTTGCTGTTCTCTGAGCTTCTTGGATCCAGGGTTTGGTGCCTGTCATTAGTTTTGGAAAATGCATGATCATTATTACTTAAAATTTTTCTTTTGCTTTTTTTTTTCTTCTTCTTCTTATATTGCATTTATATATATATATTAGAGTTTAAAAATTATCCCACAGTTCTTGGATATTCTGTTCTACTTATTCACTCTATTTTCTCTTTGCATTTTAGTTTGGGAAGTTTCTGTTGACTTATTTTCAAGCTTAATGATTCTTTACTTGGCCAGGTCCAGTCTACAGATAAGCCCTTCAAAAACATCCTGGTTGGGAGGCTGAGGCGGGTGAATCACCGCAAATCAGGAGTTCGAGACCAGCCTGGCCTCTGGTCTCTGGTGAAACCTAGTCTCTACTAAAAATACAAAAATTAGCTGGGTGTGGTGACAGGTGGCTGTACTCCCAGCGACTCAGGAGGCTGAGGCAGGAAAATTGCTTGACCTCAGGAGGTGGAGGTTGCAGTGAGCCGAGATTGTGCCACTGCACTCCAGCCTGGGCGACAGACTGAGACTCCGTCTCTAAAAGAAAAAATTCCTTTGTTTTTATTATATTGCTTTTGATGTGTAGCATTGTCTTTTGATTCTTTTACACAGTGTCTATTTTTCTGCATAGATTATGCGCCTTTTCTTTCCCATGGTCCATTTTCTTCATCATGGCCCTTATCACATCAATCATAGTTATTTTAAGTTTCCTAATAGTTCCAAAATCTGTACCATATTTGAGTCTGGTTTTGATGTTTGCTTTATCTCTTCAGATCATGTTTTTTTCTTATTGTTCAGCAAAATTTTTAGTTTCTCTTGAAAGCTTCACTTGATGTATTGAGTAATAATAACTGAAGTGAAAGATGTTTAGTATAAGACTTTTCATTAATCTCACTAGGATTTAGTTTGTGCTTAATGTTTGCCAGAGCTGTAAGTGCAAGAGGCTTAAAATTTCTCTCGTGTCCCTGTTTTTGTCTTTCCTATTGCCTTTGTCATTTCCTAATAATTCTTTCTTAAGTAGTGTACTTTGCAGCTCCTCAGTTGTGATCTATTGTCATTAAACTGTATCTCTATTGATGTGGTAGTGTCTGAGCAAGGGGAAGTATGATATAATTTTATGATTAAATCTCAGTATTTGTGTGAGTCTATGCCCCAGGGTCATGACTTTCAAAAATGTTTCTTAACTCTCTTTCTGTTAGGTAAGATGAAAGGCTAGATGGAGTGGACTTCAATGCACTGCTGCTTAGGCCTGATAAGACGCTCATTAGGTCTTTTTACCTGGAAGTAGGTCTTTGTTATTCAGAATGCTCTGGGCTGATTTAGAAATGATTTCTTTTCTCCTCCTCCTGCCAAAGCCATGAGAGAATTATTCGTGACTCCACCAAGAGAACCTGTTGGGATTCCTGAAGGTAAAATCCATGAAGGTGTGAGGGCTTTCCTAGGAGTGCAATGTCCATGAGTTTCTCACTCTTAATGCCAAGCTGCACTCAACATCCAGCAGTTTTTCAAAATCACCATTTAAGTGTTCCTAACAGCTTGTAGCTCTAGAGGCTTTTGCTCCAGGTAAGCAGAAATGTAAACAACTCTCCGTATTTGGGTGCTTTTCCAGATATTGGGGTACCAACTTGCCCTGCTACCTCAGTTCTCTCACTAGCCCAAAGGAAAGTTGTCGATTTTAAGTTTATTCAGATTTTCTTGTTTTAAAGAAAAGAGTAGCAGGCTCCAAAGCTCTTTATGTCAACATTGTAACCAGAAGTTTAAGTAATTCATTTTTCACTGTATTTTATAAAAGTCGCCATGCAACACAGATTGCAAATTAATGGAAAAAAAGAAAAGATCCTTCACAGAAAATTATTTGAGAAGTTCTGTTTTAAGCAATGTCAGACTCCCCTAGGACTGATTGTGTCACAACATCAGGGACAATGTGTGGGCAGTGAGTGTGTGGAGAAGCACTGTCTTCATTTCTTCATGACACAAACCCTGCCTGAGCAGGGCCCACACCTTCATCACAAATACACTGATGGGAACATTCACATAGTAATTTCCCCTTAGGCCTGGGTGAAATTGGGAGAAGCCAAGACTCAGTGTTTTGTCCGCCAGCTTCGCCCTCCTCTTCCAAAGGCTCTTACTATAAGAATGAAACAAAAGCATACAAGTATAAAGTAACATTTTTATTATTATTCTCTGAGATCTCAGGACATGGAAGACAGAGAGGAGCCTGAAATGAAGGTGAGTAAAAAGGAAAAAGAAGGAGAATCATGACCAGGTGGTCAGGTAGGGCAGTTTGGGGAGAATATTCTCTTCCAGGGTGAGTCTTCACACTGGTCTCATGTGCATGATGAGCTGCACACCAAGCTCAGGCTGCTGACTTCCCATCTGCCCTAGTCCTTGAACTTGCAGACATAGGGTAACTTTGCATCACAATTATTATCTTTCCACTTCAGAAATCCTAGGGAGACAGAATATAAAAGGCATGGGGCTGGGGGAACTTGTGAACCCAATGAAGAGGCATCCCAGGTTTTAGCCTAGGATTTAAAGCATTTTTCTCATCTTCACCAGTTTCTTAATCCAGGAGAATGAGACTCAAAGAAAGCAGAGATGAGAGGAGATGGGAGAAGACACATCAACGCTGCATTTCCTAGCTGAAAAGAATTTCCTGAAGGTCAGGCCTAGAAATTGGGGATGAGGAGCGGAAAGTGCCGGGAAGAGGCAGCTCTTCTGTTTCTTACCTGTGCTTCTTGACAGGCTCCCACAGTGGCCAGGGTTTAAGATGGTGGAGGGATTTTTCTCCCATGCAAAGTAATTCATCACATCAGTGCTACTCCACTCCCATCCATCTCCATCAGGCTCTGAACTCTATAAAGAAGAGGAGGCAGCCAGGTGAAGAAAATGGCCATTGCAGCTCTCTTTGCAAGGCCCCTGAGCTGTAACACCTGATTCCTCCCCAGCATCAGGGATTTTGGTCTGCTCTTCCAGATGCTGCCCTAGAGTCCTCTGCACTGGAACCGCTTCCTTAACTCCTCATTGCTATTGGAAAATCCCAGCCAATAAACACAAGACCTTTGGAATCATTCAAGGTAATATGTTACTTATAGAAGAATAATTGGTGTAGCATTTGTGATTAGCCTGTGAACCTCAAAGATAATGTCTATTCTGTATGGGGGAGCAAAAATTGGTCCTATCTTAATTGAGAACTCCCTCAGAATAATAGATGCAGACTCCCTGAAGCTCAGCTAATTGATTTGTAAGGATTCACATGAGAAATCTGTAAAAGTTTTACAAGAGTCTGATTAATTTTATTTAAAGACTAGGGACCTCCACAGAATTCAGATCTTCAGCTGCCTCGTGGGCTTCCTAGTCTTCCAAATGTCTCCCAGAATCTGAGCTCCAGTGCTCCCTGAAGTACTTCCTGGCAGGGACAGGGGACAGGAAGTGGATCTGGGCAACAATAGCACCTTGAGAGGTAACAGAGAGGGGAGGATATACTCACACCTGTGTGGGGTCATGGAGCCCAATCCAGACGTATGAGTAGCTGTTACTAATGCTCCTCACCAGGGAGGACACGAAGGATCCCTCAGCCCCACTGAGCACAGACACCAGGTTTCCAGAGGGCCGTTTCTGGCAGGTCAGCTTTGAGGGAGACAAAGAGAATGAGAGGGAGCCTGAGACCCGCTGGGGGAGAGCAGGACAAAGGGAGGTGGGAGGAGGACTATGTGAAAGATAAGCGTGTTCATCCTCATTCCCAATGAACTCTCCTGAATGGAGATCCTCCTCCCGCTGAGACTTGCATGGATTTTCCCCTGTTACCTCCAATCCCACATCTAAACACTCACATCTGCATCCATCCAGGATTTTGGTGACAAAAACAAGGCATAGCAGTGGGAGCCATAGGCCTTGGAGCCTTTGGGACAGTGGATCCGCGCAGAGGGCAGTTCCTTCTGGGGTTCTTCACCTGAGGTGGAAGAGGAGGGAGAGGGTAAAATGAAGATTGGGGGTTGAGGTGGAAGATGACCTTGGGGAATATCTAGGTCTGCCCTTGGGGAGGAAGACCACATTCCTGACACCCCTTAATCTTCCCTTGTGTTTTCAGAAGTTCTTTATCTCAAAATAGTAAATGGGGCACCATCTAGTCTCTTATTACCCTTTCCCCTTATTCAACCATTCAATACTCTCCTCACTCTGGGCTGTCTCTACACTGGGTCCTCCAGTCATTGTCCCTCCCCACATCTCATTACTGACCCTCCACACTTTCTCACAAGTCTATATTGGAGTCCACTGACTAAATGGAAGCCATCTCATTCCACTGTTAGTGGACCACCGTGGAGCCTCCCACTGCAAGTTAACCTGAAGGAAGGAGTGATGATGCAGGAACTGCAGGCAGGTACATTAGACACTACGTCATTACCCATGTGACACAGAGGAGCCTTCCTCCTCTTCTTGGCTCTGAAGATTCATAGGAAACCCTGTGCTAGAGGCAGAGCAATCTCACCTTGAAGTGAGACAGGAGCACGAAGTAGGAAAGCAGCATCCAAGATAAGCTGGGCAGGGCCATGGGAGGCAACATGGTGTCTGTGACTTGAGGAGGTAGTCAGGAGTCCCTAAAGGAAGCGTGGTCAGTGGGAGAACACACAGATACTCTACAGCCTCATGTCTTTTTCCTTGTCTAGTCCCCTAGGACTAAAGTGATCTTGGTCACATCCATCATCTTCTACAGTTCTGAATGAGTTGGAATCTGTGTACTCTCCCATCCCCAAGCCCTCCCAGGACAGCCTTGCTGAGTCTCAGAGTTCTTGTGCTCCCTGAGGAAGGGAACCTCCCATGCATTCTCCTGTATCGTGTGCAGTAGCCCCTCCCTGGGTCTCATCTTCTCTCAGCTCCCCTTTACCTCTCTGGTGGGATATGGTATGGCTTGTCTGGTCAGGAAAGACCGGGTTTTTTTATAAGAGGATCTCAAGGATGGTCATTGGAGTGAATAATGGCAATATGTAGGCGGGACAGGGGTCATGGGGAGGGCTTGGCATTGGTTCAAAAGATAATGCCAAGGGGAGGAGACTCCTCCTGGCAAAGGCTGGGAATTGTCAGAGATGTTGCCTTTTTCTCTGTAGCAGACCAGCACTTTCCCCACAAACAGTTGAAGTTTGCACTTTTCCCACCCTCTTCCAGATATCTTCTTCTGAGAAACTTAAGGGAATAAAGGCAGTCTTGTGAGTCTGGTATTACATAGTTTAGAAAATATTATGATATTACATAGTTATGAGAAATGTCAAAAGTTTGCTTTTGATCAATCAACCTGCCAGGGACTCACTTCTATAGGCATACATATGAATTTCTTTATACCTTATCTAGTAACATTTAAAATAAATTAATAAACAAAAATTGGGTGGGCATTAAAATTATATGTTTTGGCAAAGACAATGTATTAGTCGAAATAAAGAAAGAATAGAAACCAGAAGAAGTAGCACTGGTTCAGAGTTGCTACTTCAACTTTGCAGCAAGATGTAAAAGTAGCTTGAAATAATCTCATGAGTCATTAGGCAAGTCAGGGTCTTATGGAACAGCAGTTAAATATATTTGCCTCCCAGCTACCTTTGTGTGAGAAGACCAAGAGATAGTTCGTTGGTTTATTGTATTTCTGAAGTGGCAGTTTGATACCTCAGAGTAGCATTCTTAGACTGTGATCTACACATGAATGGGGGTCTTCAGGGCCTGTTCGGAGTGGCTGTGCAATTATAATTGTCATAGTTATACTAAAGTGTTGTTTGTCACTTTTGCTATGTTGACATTTGCACTGATGAGACAAAAGAAATGGTGGATAGAAGTTCTGGTGCTTTAACATTAATCAAGGCAGTGGCACCAAATTGTATTGCTCATATCCACGTACTTGCAAGAAACAAAATACAGGCATTTTTACTTGAAAATGCCCTTGAACTTGATGAATCAGAGTAGTGAATTGGCTTCAGTAAATCTCAACCCTTGAATACATCTAGAGAGAATATTCTGTATGACTAGATGGAAAGCTGACATGCTAAAGTATAATGGTTGTCTTGAGGGAAATAATTTGTAATACTGAGTTTTAATTCACTATTTCATGGAACACCATTTTTACTTGAAAAATAAACCAAGACAAACTTTACTTATTGACATATTGGTATTTTGTTAACGTGTTTTCAGAAAAGATCAAAGTGAGTTAGTAAATGAATATTTTTAACTTTTCTCTTTTAATATGTATTATTATAAATATCAATAGCTCACATGAACAAAAATTTTTTTCTAGCATCCTCAATACTTTTAAGGGTGTAAAAGTGTCCTGAGATCAAACCAGTTTGAGACCTCTGGTTAACATCTAGCTGGCAATTTCCAGAAAATATAGGACATGGAGACAGTGTTATATTACAACATAGGAATACCATTAGCAAAATTTAGAAGGTGGGAAATTCTACAGGACAAATAAGTACATTTCCCCAGCAAGTGAATTTAAGGAAATAAAACAACATATCACTCTTAACATGTGAAAAATATATCAATCAAATAAAATGTGTGAACCATGTTTGGATCTTGATTTGAACAAATTAAATAAAAAATATAAAACAATTGGGTAAAAGTGAGCATTTGATAATGTTAAGGGACTATATCATGTTCAGATGTAATTATAATACTGAAATAATATTATTTAAAATATCCTTATCATTTAAGATACATAGCACAATACTTACAGATGAAACGGTTATTCAAGATTTACTTCAAAATAATCTACCATGATAGAGATAAAGAAAGAGAGAGACAGATAAAACAAGAGAGGCCTTGAGGTCATGATAGTTGTTGCTTGGTGGTAGGTACATAATGAATCATAACACTACTGTCTTTGGGTTTTTATCTAAAATATCGGGGGAAATTTTTGAGAAAAAGAAAAATCCAGGGCCATTGTGAGAAAGAAATTTGAAGGACAATCTGACTCAAGAACAAAGATGCAAAGTTCTTGAACAAAACACAAAACAAATTGAATATTCATTGTTGTGTATAATAAATGAAGAGAAGGAAGAGTTAATCTTGGAAATGTAATGATAGTTTATTATGATCAACTATTAATACAATTTCCAAGTTCAGAAATTAAAAGAGAAAAAAATACAGTCATTTTAAAACAACAAAATCATTAAGTGAAATTCAAAACCTATTAGTAACTGAAAAGAAGTCTTAGAAACAAGAGACAGGAATAGCTTTAACACAGTGAAGAAATCTATAGAGACTGAAAAGTAAACTACTGAAAAGACTTCCTTAAAAAATCAGAAATGTACAAATGTACCACCCTCATTGATTCTATTTAATAATACGGTGTGATAGAAAGTACACTTAGAAAATAAAAAAAAATTTAAACAGGGTAAGAGTAAATTAAATTGTCACTACTTGCATATGACATGCTGTCTCCATAGAAAACCCAGGAGACTCTTCAAATTAATTATTAGAATTAATGGATAAGTTTAGTAAACAAGAAGAATGTGAGATCAACATATAAATCTCAAATGAATGTTTATATTCCAACAATAGAGTTAGAAAAGGTATTTTTAAGAAATATACTGTTTTTAATAGTAAGAAAAATATGAAGGATCTGGAAATATATCCAACAAAAATAGTCAAGACCACATAAAACTTTTTAAACTTTAATGAAGGATTTAATATATGAAGAAATATATCATGTTTTGGAGAGACAGATTCAATACCCTGAAGAGGTTACTTTTCCCTACACAGATGGTCTCTGATTTATGATAGTTCTACTTACAATTTTTCTACCGTATTATGGTGGGAAAGTGATATGCATTTCCTAGAAACCTTATTTCAGATTTTGAATATTGATCTTTTACTGGGCTAGCAATATGCAGTACGGTACTCTCTCATGATGCCTCAGCATACGCAGCAAGCACTGCCCTGTGGCAATATCATCTCGAAAGTAAACAGTTGATACTCCACAGTGTACTGTGTTTTCAGATGATTTTGCCCAACCGTGAATGCAGGAGGTTTGCTTGGGGGCCATCTTAATAGCTGGCTATCAGAATTCGAAACTGGTACTTTAATAGTCAAGGGCTTGGCCCTTTCTCCCTTCCTCCTAGTAGACCATTTTGAATCTCCATAATGCCACTTGTACACAGGAGGAGGAACTTCACTCAATTTTGTCCAGTAGTCCTCAAATTTCAGATAAACTTGAATATATGGTGGGAGCAGAAGACAGGGTGTTTATCTTCTGTTACTGACTCTATGGCCCTACCTATTCAAAATGATCAGTAATGAATATGAATTTATCATTACGCTCCCCTTCAAACTTTACTGATGATTTCTCCATTATCTACTCTTCTGATTTCATATTGGTACAAAAAAACTATCCCAAGGTTAGTGGCATAAAAGAGTTTGTTATTACTTCTCATGGTTCTGTGAGGTGATTAGGATTGTCTGGGTGGTTCTCCCTTGGGAATCATGCAGTTGCATATAATGGCTGGAACTGGAGTCATATGAAGCATTAAATGGACAGGTCTGCAAAGATGATTACACACATGCACATCGGTTGATCTGGTTATTGCCTGAGAGCTGAGCTGGGACTGCTAAAGAGAATTACAATGCAGTGGCCCTGTGCCTTGAACTTCTTACAGCATGGAGGTGTCAGGATAGTAGAACTTCTTTATTGTTGGTCAGGGCTCCAAGAGGGCAAAGCAGAAGCTGCTGGTCCTTTTGGGCTAGGTCATGAAACAATATAATGCTATTTCCATTATACTCTGTTGATCAAGCGTGAGTTTGTATTCTCAGGACCTAGCACATTAAACCCTCAATAATACTTATTTAATAAATTAATGTGTTCATTCACAATGATTTTAGCAATTAGCTGCTTTTAACCTCAAAATGTTACAGGCTGATAAGACTTCACTTTTAATTTTATTTCTTTCATTAAATCTGTTATTTTGAGTAGGTGACTTTATTCCCCCTGGACCTGTGTTTCTTAATTTTCCAATGATGATGTTGGATGAAGAGAACACTGAGATATATTCTATAATTTTCCTATTATTGATCAGAATGCTGGCATATTATGAACGTGGGTTAAGAGATTTCCTGGAAAACAGTTACTGCTTCCGTATTTAAATCTCAGCCAACCTTTGGGAAGGCCATCTTCTTATTGTATCAGACAGTTTATTCGTGAGCAAGCTTTGGAAAAAGTAAACTATTATAAAACAGTCTGGAAATTGAGCCATTACAGAGAATTTTTCACTCTTATTCTTTTGTATTGGCTATTAGAAACAACTTGTTTCTGAAATGGAAACACATTGACTAAGCTCTCTTTGCATATGTGCATAAATGCTTAAAGAATCATAACCTAGCATTTTAGATTGAATAACTTTATTCAAAGAATGATTATTTGTTAAGCTCTGTGAGCTTATTCCCTATGAGTCTTTAGAAGAAAGAGCACTTCGCAGAAAGGACTTAATGTGGCAATTGGCATATATATGATAAGTTACCAAGGAAGAATCTGTTCACTAAAAAAACACATTCCTTCAGAAAATCTTTCAAAATGAGTAGAATTTGAGG